AACCTACTGCCAGTTTGCACTGGTCTGCACAGGTCTTGGCCTGATGAGTTTCAGGGCTGAGAGATGTGGACTCAAGCCTACATCCATTAAACAGAATGTATGCCCAATTGATATTTCAATATTCTAATGTGTTTGCGTGATAAGGAAAATAATTCATGTACCTAAAGGAATGACAATATAATTAAGTAGTGGGAACTAACTACAATATGTTGTCATATTAATGTGAAATATACTTTAAATCTTATACCTTTAACACCAGCGATCAATAACTTGGGTATTTTGAGCAACTGTTACAAAAGTAAAAAGGGGGATGTTTTAATTGATGGAGGTTATAGTAATAATAGCAGTTTTTAATAGTGTTTGAATGCAAATAAGCTATAAGTAAAAATTCTGTATATATCATTTGCTACTACAATAGTATTTATATTTTAATTTTATGTAAGGAAAAGAAGCCAGTTAAACTGAAGAATACAGACAATGCACAAATAGCACAGTGAAAACACCCCTTCGAAACAGCTGCCATCTTTTGTTTGTTTTTCTGCTTGGACTTGTAGGAAAAGAGCTCATTATAATTAACATAGGCCAAAATAGGGGAGAAAAAGAAAACGTTTAGCCTTCTTAAAAGACATCTCTCCTATAATTAGAAGCCAGAAATTAGATGTATTTTATCAGTACAATGTACATTAATAAATGGTTATCAAACAGTTCAAATATGATTTTTATTTTTATTCAATAACTCAATATTTTCTTTTCCCATGAAATTTCTTTTAGTTTATTGAATATATTATATACTAATATTTCACAAATAAATGTCAAATTAGGCTGTGATTTTTATTCTATTTACTCTCTAAGAGGTATTTCTTCAAGAACATTGAAGTTTACAATGACTAATACCATTACCATATAAAACGCATATGACATATAACTACTTCCCTTCTTCACTGGTTAGTAAACGTATACTACTAGCTATTTGAAAAGCCATGTTTGACTTTATAGAAACTAATGTATAAAATTTGTTAGTCAGTTTCTTATGCTTTGTTCCTCTCAACATCCTTTGAAAGAATTAATTAACAATGAATAAGTGAAATCTAGATCCAGCTAAAATGTGACAAACCACTACCAGTGAACTGGCAACAAGAGCAGTACCAGCTTTTTGGTAGAGTGAACCATTTAATAAAAAGTACATCTAGTCCTTAAAAATACAAAAAAAAATCTTATTGATTGTCAACCCTTTCAAAGACTTTTTTGTGACTTAATATGATGAGCAATTGTTATACTCTTTTGTATTCAATGGACTACATTTTTCATTAGGGCAGAATAAAACTCTATTATGTGTGTATATGTCATATTTTTATAGAGCCATCTGCTAACAGAGACCTAGAATCGTGTGCCATGTCCCCAACATTACTTTTAGTCAAGATGGCCAAAGAGATTAGAGATATTGGGAACATGGCAAATTATTATGAAATCATTATGCATCTTTAGATGTAATGATAAGTATAGGTAATGTTACATAAAATATTCTCTTTTTGATATTCACTTGTATGATGTATTTTTAGCAAGTGTCTAATAGTAAATTCCCCAATAAATATTTCTTTACAAGAAATATTCTACCTTAAAATATCAGATATATAATAATTGTGATAAAGATTATAGGGGGCTAGAAAACTGCTCAGTTATTTAAAACACTGAATGTTCTAAATGATTTGGGTTCAACTCACATTGAACTACAACCATTCATAATTCCATGTTACATAGAATCCAATACCTTCTGACAACTGTAGGTACCAGGTACACATGTAATATGTATTATATAGAGGTAGATAGATAGATATAAACATAGATGAAACTATACATACATATAAATAATAAATGAATCAAAAACAAAAAATTACTTAGTTTTAGATTCAAAAACTATGATTTTTTGTAATGGTGATTATAAATTAGCACTTATAATTATTTTTAGTTGTTTACAAGAATAGAGCTCAGGTTTACTGAACGTTTAAATATTTAGGAACTATTTTAGTTTTTGTTTTCTAAACTTAACTGTTGAAAAGAATGTATGAGGTATGTGGGAATGGCATGACTAAAATTGACCATTTCTTTGGGGGGGGGTTTCAAGACAGGGTTTCTCTATGTACCAGCACTAGCTATACTGGAACTAACTCTTGTAGATCAGGCTGGCCTTGTACTAATGGAGATCTGACTGCCTCTGCCTCTCATATGACCTGATTCTATTATCTATGAGATTATTGAACAAGGAATCTAACTCTTTTTAACACAGAGTAACCTACACAACTATGTTTTGGCAGTACTATGTATAATAACCAAGTTATTGTATTATTCTAGGAATATGTTAGCAGATGACTGTACAATGACATGTACTCACATAATAGAGTTTTATTCTTTTCTAAAGAACAATAAAGCTGTACTACCTGATTTATTAGTAAAAATATCTTTCTAAAACTCATCTCTCTATATAATGAATATATGCCAAATAAAGGAACGTGAAGAATAAACACATAAATACATACATACATAAATAAATACATACAGAAAGAAAATCTAAAGCACAAAGATGGGTTGAGTTTACATAAATGCAACAGAACCAGCACAGAAACTTACAGAATTTGTAGGTTCAATGCTGTTTTAGTCTGGTATTTGGCAATGTCTTCATTAACAGAACATCAGTACCTTATTTTCTGTCAGGATGGTAAAAAAACAGTAAAATTAAGTTGGAAAACTTTATACACTTAAATACATACATAATACAAATTTCATTATATTTATTATTACATGTCCAGTATTCTCATTTTCATGTTATTGAAGTTATAATGATTATCATCAAATAATTTTAAAGCTGATATTTAATGAGAATTACATTAGTGATAGAATTTGTTTTCTCTTTCCTTAGAAGATATAACAAGGACATTTGATATTTCTGTAGAAATGGAAAGAATTTCAGAATAGATCTTTTTCAGCAGGCACTTGAGGAGAAAGAGAGAGAGAGAGAGAAAGAGAGACACACACACACAGAGAGAGAGAGAGAGAGAGAGAGAGAGAGAGAGAAAGAGAGAGAGAGAGAGAAATAAAGAAATAAATTCTGGCTGTGAGATTTAGCCAAGAAAATCTCTGATTTGACATTTTTTATGTCACATATTAGTGATTGTAGCTATCTTATCTCTGGATTCCATAGTGTTCCTTCTTTCACATTAACTTTGTAAACAGTATTAGCATCTTCTTCATTATCATTAAGTCTAAAAACATCCATTTACCTTCAACAATCTAAAAGACAAAGGACATTTTCAAATTATAAAAAAACTTTTCTTTACAACTCTCGGATTTACTTCTTTTAGAATTTGGACTATATTTAAATCTCCACTTGCCATGTTTGCTTCTCTGCTTACCTTAAAGCCCTTCTTTGATGTGAGTATTTGCACATGCAACCAACTAGTTATCATGATGGTAAATTTAAATATGAGTAAATCAAGTGTCTCTCTCCACTTTATTTTCTGGGGAGGTACTAGTTGATGAGTTACAAATTGCTGCAAAGCTATTTCTGACACCAAACTACAATTTCACCCTTCACGTTTATATAATAGCAACTTTTATTTGCAGTTGGGAGCCTGGTATAAATGATAAATAATACTCTTTTCAGTGTCATCAGATGAAATTAGTGACCATGCCTGTACAGTTTTCTTCCATCACACATCTCATTCTTGCCAGAAGTTCTGTGTTATTAACAACTTTTAGCACTGTACGAGGTCCTGCCTGACATGCTTTCTTAGAACATAACACTGTTGTAGGAAGGGTGCTTGTTCGTACACAGCTGCTTTGACCCAAAATAACCACACAGAAACTATATTATTTAAATCACTGCTTGGCCCATTAGCTCTAGCTTCTTATTGGCTAACTCTTATATCTTAATTTAACCCATTTCTAGTAATCTGTGTATCACCATGAGGTCATGGCCTAGCAGCCAAGTTTCAGCACATCTGTCTCTCGCAGAAGCTCCATAGCTTCTCTCTGCCTGTGCCCTTCTTTCTTCTGACATTCAGTTTAGTTTTTCCTGCCTAACTAAGTTCTGCCCTGCTAGAGGTCCAAAGCAGTTTCTTTATTCACAGTATACAGAAGGGAATCCCACATCATAATACAAATCACCTCAAGTTAGCGAGCTGTTTAAATGCCCTTTACATTTCTTCTTTTATAACGTTACTAAAGAACAGTATCTTTAGCACAACAACCAGATGTCCCTTGCTTTGGCCTTGACACATAAATCCCCAGCTGTTTCTCTTCAAATATCCTCAAGGAGAAAGTCCATATATGACCTGAAAGCAAAGGCTAGCTCTTTTTCAAATGTCACTGTAAGGGAAATTTTCCCTCCCTTCACAGTCATTTCTTGTCTAAATTCATTTTCAAAATTTTTTATAAAGCCATTTTATTACTATACATGGGGTTCACTCTTTAAAATTCCTGATACAACCCTGATTTAATTCTCTTTCATTAACATCATTTTAACTATAGTAATTTTTATAGAGACAATTGTTTGCTAGATAGGACTTGTGTTTCCTCATGGTTTTTTCTTCAGATGCCCCAGGATTCCAATTAATTAGTTGTTATAGTTATCATACAAATGGAAATGTTGGTAAATGTATATAAGCCTTATATGCTTAAGAATATTATCAGACCTTTGCAAACTATGAATAATAGTCAGGTAACAAGTAGAGTATATAGTCGAGAGTTGATATAAGGTATGAAGAAAGTATTTATTTATAGATAAATCATAACAGGTTCTTTACCACCTTCTTCCCTTCTCATAAAAACAGTGACCTCTGTTGCATGCACAATGCTGTGATCTTTTCTTAAGTCCAATCTCTCATTTTTTCTTAAAACATCATGGATTTGAGCTCACTGTTTTCTCAATTTAGCCCTAAGAAAATAATGGCCAGATACGCATTCTCTAATTAACCTAAAAGTGAACTATATTTCATTGCTTGTAGGATGGTATGGGGAATCTGAGAGTCACCAAGAAGGGAATCCGACTTGAAGGTATATCTGAGTTTCTCCTTCCATTGTATGTGAAAGAAATCCATTCCCGAAAGGTATGTGATACGGCTTTGGCTTACTCTAAGATGATTTAGAGTTTATGTTTTCACTCGGCATAGGAGCATCCAATATCCTTATCCCCTTCCTTTGCATTTAATTTCTTTAAGCTAAAGACTTATTTGAAGAAGCTAAAAGAATCAATTTAAGAACAACAGAACAAGTTAGCTTCAAATTGGCAAATCAGAGAGCATTTGTACTGAGGCTCTGTGCTGCTTTTAGCCTTTGAATTGCTTTCTTCCTCTGTCACCCAAAGTTAAATGTGGTGTTAGCATTTGCAAAAGAGGTATTTATAAGTTTTCTCAAGAAGCACAAATGGATTATTTGGATTCAGTGTATCATACATTTCCCCTTAAATATAAATGTGCTTCCAAGGCACAACGTGAAGTCTGTAAAAGGAAATTGAATTTATCGTTTTAACTAATGCTGGAGCATTTATCCTTTAGGTGTATGGATGTATGCTAGGTTACACACATAGCAGCACGATAAATGAGAAAAGAATTAGCTTAGTGATTGCTCACCTTGACTTTAGAGTGTTACTTAGAAGGAATCAAATAGTCTATGACATCAGTTTATCTCCTATCTCTCAGGATGTTTTATGATGCATATCTATGGAAATTAATTTATTAAGACAAAAAGAAAAGATTAGTATTTAAATTTACAGAAACAGATTTGTCTCATATAAAATTATTTTAGAGTAAAATAATGCCTCAGTTTTATCAAAATAATAATTAGGAGATTTTTATGGTAAAATTTGGATAATTTTCATTAAGGCTTTTGCCACTAATAAGAAAGTAGAATGAAAGGGATTTGTTTTAAATTTTCAATTAGGATTATTGTGTTAACAATTTTTGTAACATATGAACAATCCAAAATATTGAATAGACTTAGTGAGTACACTGAGTAATACAAATTTAGTTTAACATTACTTTAAAGACTTTATTCAGATTTTAAACAATGGGCACATTTTTTGATACCTGACCTTGAATGATTAACCTTTAAAATGTCTATTTAATATTTGATATTAGTTTTATTTAGGAAAACTTGACCAAAATGCTTATATGCATTAGTGTGTTCTGCTATTCATTCATTTCCCCAATACCTCCTATACTGGTCAATATTAAGCAGTTTAGGGATATTAAAGAAATTAAAACTTACTTATAGAAATCAGAAAATACTAAACTTAGAAAAACGGGTAAGTGTGGTCACACAGATATGAGTACATATATATTTTCTTTTTAAATTATGCTCACCTTACGAGACCTGGATAGAGGTGAGCGGTCCTTGGGCTTCCCACAGGTCAGGGAACCCTGATTGCTCTCCGAGCAGATGAGGGAGGGGGACTTGATCGGGGGAGGGGGAGGGAAATGGGAAGCGGTTGCAGGGAGGAGGCAGAAATCCTTAATAAATAAATAAATTAAAAAAAATTCATTCTACTAGTAAGTCCAGAGACAGTAATGGTAACTTACCTCTAAAGTTACCCAGACTGATTTGTATCATTTGCCAGGGAACACAAATGATGGTGAAGACCTATGCGCAGAAGACAGCTAAAAATTTATCTTCTGGGGAGGGTACTTTTTGAGTATAACAAAAGTTGTTCTCTGAAATATTACATGAGAGTTCTTCTCACTTCTGGTCTAGTTAACATAGAGTATACCAACTTTGTAACCTAAATGTGTGAGACAGTGACAATTGTACTCTCTGCCTAGAATAAGTGATCTCAGCTTCACAAACATTTCCAAAGTCAGCTATCTAAAGGAGAGTTGAAATCTTTGTTTACAACCTCATTATTTGCTACTGGACATCCCTGTGTCTATCTTTTGCCTACTGGTATTTAAGAAGCAAATCCATGTGCAGCATGGGAGATGGTGGTCACAGTGTCCAGAAGGGACATCTGGACTGATAAGAAAATACAAAAGAGACTCACTCCTTGGAAGATTTCTCTATACATACACACTAAAAACTAAACAAAAATATCTATTTTATAATCAATACTCACATTGCAATTCTTTTGTCTTTGAGTACATACACTTGTTTAATCTGGTTGTAAATCTTATTTATTTCACTGTTTGATGGTGACAGGCACACAATTTTCCTCAACTTTAATTTTCAAGTCAATGAGTGTAGAAATGGATCCAAATGCATATCTCTTAGAGTCAGAAGATACACACAGATCACTACCAATAGTAGAAATGGAATTTAATTAAATTTTTTGAGATATATGCTTGGAGGTATCTTCCCCTATTTTTATTGCAACTATTTGTTATTTGGTGTGTGTGTGTGTGTGTGTGTGTGTGTGTGTGTGTTTATGCACATTTCACTGAATCTGTGTGGCTCGGAGGTCTGAGAACTTATTTTGGAGTCAGTTTTCTCCTTCAACCAAATGGGGCCAGGTGCTAGAACTCAACTGGTCTAGTTCATTACTATCTAAATCTTCCTGCAAGACCAATCTTCTCATACATTATGTAGCCCTGGCACAGCCAGCAGAGAAAAGATTATTGCCATGTGTTTGAGGACAAGCAGGGATCCATAATTGGTCTCAGGACGGTGTGGTTTTTATAGTTATTTATGAATTTAATCCTATACATGAAAACAAGATTTATTCTGGACAGAAAGTAAAGCTGTAGACAAACATACATTAAATTACATAATTTGAAAAATATTCATCGGTATTTTCCCAGTTGAATCACTTCCTGGCCATTTGTGAAGTTAAATGCCCAGATAGGAAAAAGAAAAAGGCTGTATAATTTGAGTTAATGTAGGTAAATCATACCTGATAATATTCCACATATATCTTCAAGTGACAAGGTCTCACATTAGGAGAAAATATTTGAATATCAGGAAATGAAGACCATTAAATTTTAACGTAATTGTTTTGCAGGATGCTAATGTGGTCAAGTAACATATATTTTTGCTGAAACTAACCAGTCAAAATGATATCATATTTTTTTGAGCCTGTAACCATCTGAGACTAAGTGAACAACAACATTATATTGATTACTTTTTTTCTAGTCAATAATCTGTACTTAAATTTCTCCTTCTTGCAGAAATGCTATATGACAAGCTAGTAGTGATTCGTGAGCAGGTACCCAGATAATTCTAACTCCAGTATATAGATAGGAAGGCTACAAAGTCTTGAGTATTTAGACTTCTGAGTGAATAAAGTATGAACAGCTCTGCTTTTCCTAAGTCCATGTATGTGAGTCCAGTGCTGTTCTTCTAACTCATTTTCTGGTTACCCATTCGTTTTGTGCTTTTTGTGTTGGAGTGTGTCTATAGTTCATATACAAAGATATGGGCAAGGCTATCACAAGTGACTTTTATGCCTATGTAACTGCATGAGTAGCTCTTTCTCTGTCTCTTTTGTGTACCACAGCTAATCTCCCCTTTTCAGATTCTATTTCCCATATATATATAAAGAAATTCATAATTTATTATCATCATCAATATCTTTATGATTTTGCAGCTGGATATTTAATCTGGAGACATCTGTGAATTTTGTAGTACTATTTAATCCAAATTTCAAGTAATATATATCATTCTGATATCTTTACACTGGAAAACAACAAAATCAATAGCACCTTAATATTTAATCAACATCATTACAGTTCTATAATTATATTTCTGCAAATGTAAAATGCTAAAGAAAATAAATATGTAAATTGAAACATGTGCATGCCATTTTAAATTAATATGGAATTTAACAGAAAAACACAAAGTCAATTGAAAAATTGATATCTCAAGTATATCTTTAGCATAATAGCATGGTTAAAACTTGTCTTTATGGCTAGGAATTAATGATTGAGAATATGATTAATAAGTTGGGTACATTAGCTTCATAATTAATATCACACAGCTTTTGTTACCTCCCAGCAGTGTAATTTAGGGTGATTACTGCCTTCCAAATCTGTTTTCCTTCCCCACTTTTATTTCTTTTGTAACAATACCATTCAGATTTTTTCATAGTTTACTTACATTCTGCTTTGCTGCTTTATTACCTGAACACTTTGGTCTATAGATGGTACCCAGCTATTACTAGCATTTTCTTTACTGTGAACAGTCCAGTAGACATTCAGCATTATGATGGTTCCTTGCTTTAATTCAATATTAATTAATTTGCTTGTTTCTTCTTTATTGAACTATCAAGACTGTCTGAATGATGCTTTTGTTGTTGGGAATATTAGTGATGAGATTTCCTTTTCTTCAGATTTGTAATATTTGTCTATTTATTATTTGCATTGACTCTTGACATAAACTGTCAAAAAACAAACTGGTATTTTCCCCTTTTGTTGATGTAATGTTATATCTGGAGATCTGAGAAGTATCAGATTTAACTTTTTCCCTTTCAGGGAAATTTTTGTTCTTGTGTGACATGATAGTTTTAGTATTGTTTACCTGGTGATAATTGGTTGGTGTGAGAGAAGGTATTACTACTTTTCCCAGAAATCTTCTGGCCTCACCCTTCAATTAGTTGATAGTACATATACTTACGGCTCTGCTTAGCTACTAGCTTTCAGTCATACTGTCGAGTTCTTTACTTCAGAGGAAGCAATCCTTCTTACATCTCTGTATCTCTGATTATTTAAATGCGTTGTGAATTTCTTTGAACTATCTATAGTTGTCATCTAGAATTTCTCTTCTGTGAAATTATTTTCTCCATGCGAATTTTGTCAAAGTTCTCAATAACTCATATATTTTGTGTGCAATAATATTTTCATTCCCAGGGATTTCTAGATCTTCTTTTTGATATTATAATTTACTTTCATCCCTCTGTTTAATGATAATATTAATTATGTGAATCTTAGATAAATATTGCACTGCTTGTATATATTAAAATAAGTCATTTAGCACTTACTATTTGAGAAATTTTAAGCCATGCAAATACTGTGCAGTTTTTAAATTGGGCTGCAGAAATGAGCAGGAAAAGAAGTACAAACTGATATGCTCTGTCATCTGTGGGTATGAAACATCCCTGAATCTCTTTTACCAGGACATGGTT